CCTTTATTTCCCCAAACCTTATAATTTAAGCTCGTTTGAATAAAATATATGCCTCGAAAAATGCATTTCGTTCTTTAATTATTCTAGGTAATTTTACGCACAGTTTGCTATGTAAATTTTCACATGTTACGTTTCCAAATGATCGCAATATTAATGCACACACGTAAAGTTCGTATTCATCTACATACAAATTATCACGCTAAAAGTATTTGAGAAGCGTTGATTTGAAGTAATGCTATTATATGTTACATAATTAATATATCCAGCTCATTAACATTTAAATAACTTCAGGCGCAGTTGTAGGCAGCCAAACACCAACAAGGAAGACTTAACTTCAAGTTTTGTTATTACTTGTGTTTTACAACGTTCAAAGTCAAAGGGCGATGGCAAATAATGCTTAATGACAAAAACAATAGTCAATTTAAAATTGCCAGACCAGATCTCACTGGTAAAATATATTCACACTTCTACTGAGACTGCGCGACATTAGGTAGTTATTGAAAATGTATTGTTAGTTGCATTCTACGCCTTGAATACACCTTGTATTGATGATTCTTCCTGTTTGTTTAAGGTAATGGCGATTCTTGCCTTTGCTTCAACAGCTGGATTCAGTTCCAAGTCTTCATTACGTGTGCAGTGCATGACAACCGAAAGAGAAAACATCGTTGATTATGAGTTTGGTTACCCGTTCCGGTAAGGTGAAAAAGTAACAAACATTTGAATTTTGTATTAACCAAATCCGCAGTTTGCGTAAAATACAGGCCAGCATTTTATAAGATACTTTACGTTGTAATGATGGTGGCATTTAAACATGGAATGACAAAGTTTCAATTACAAGGTTAAAAAGTGTGTTTTTTTTTCCCTAAATTTAATGTCCAAATTAACTGAATAAATCGAACTTTGTGAAGATAAACAATAACTGATTTGTTTCATTTGTCATTATGGATAGTTAAAAAAGGTCGAGTGTGGCCAAATGATTAACAGTCGAAATGAGGATAGGAAGATCCAAGGTTCGAGAGGTAATATGCTCTTGAACACTGTCCGCACTTTCATCTGTAAGGGCGTTATAACTGTGACAACTAACTCTTCTTTTCAGTTAAAGATAACCACATAGGCGGCAGGTTCTGATAGCTGGTTGCCCTTTCTCTGGTCAGCACTTCTAAATCAAGGATATTTAGTTATACCATGAGCTTAAATTTTAATTATATTACGAATCTGATTATCATTCCTTGAAATATATTTTATCCAGCTTGACAAATAAGAGTGTTAATGCACTTTTTTTTGTTAGTTGCAATAGATGACTGTAATTAACTATTTCAGTAAACTTGTGTTTTTTTTTCAGTTAACTCGTGATTCAAGATATATCTCTCTCCGATGGTGAGTCTTCGTACCGCCAGGAGGTGAAGCTGGTTAGGAACACAACGACACGATTAGAAACACGACCACTGTAAACACTTACTTGCTCGGATCAATTTCAGATGACGTCAGAGCTCGTGGTGAAGCTCGATTTTAACGTACATCATCTAGGGCACTGTGGTGTTGTTCTCTTACGTTGTAAATAATTCATGAGAAAACATTTGAAGACGACTTCTTAAATTATTATGCATGTACCTTTGGTATTAAAAAGCAAATCTACTAGTATGAAACAAGGAGAAAAAGGCATTTATTCAACACACACACACACACACATATATATATATATACATATATCTAAAAGTTACTCTACAGCATGCACCAAAGTTTAATATAACTTTCATCTCCAGTTTTACATTCGGTAAAATATCTCCACTGAACATTCACACAGCAGTGTAACTTTCATCTTCAGTTTTACGTACGGTAAAATATCTCCACTGAACATTCACACAGCAGTGTAACTTTCATCTCCAGTTTTACGTTCGGTAAAATATCTCCACTGAACATTCACACAGCAGTGTAACTTTCATCTCCAGTTTTACGTACGGTAAAATATCTCCACTGAACATTCACACAGCAGTGTTAAAAGCTTAAGTTTTAACATGACAAATACAACATAATAACTTACATTTGGTAATATATATGATATGAATATATTACATTTAAATTGTTAAATAAGTCTTGTATCTAAAACGTTTGATAATGTTTTGTTGTATGATGCGATGGTTCGTCTTGGTCAGTTTGTTCGTTTTGTTAGAGTTTCCCACAAAGCTAATCAAGGGCTATCTGTGTTAGCCGTCCCTAGTTTTGAAGTGATAGGCTTAGAGGGAAGGTAACTAGTCAACACCACCCACCGGCAACTCAGAGGTTACTCTAATCGAATAATGGGATGTGGGATTAACTGTCACGTTATAACGCCCCCGCGGCTGAAGAGGTGAGCATGTTCGTAGATAAGTTTCGAACCAGAAGCTACCATACACTTAAACAAAAGATAAAATTAAATTAAAATCAAAAGTTGATATACTTTCGGCGAAGTGTTTAAGGGCATGTCTATATTATTCGTTATACGGGTTCACTGGCTAAGATCAGACGCTTTGTACTTTTTGTGAATCATCTATCTGATCCTAAAAACTGAACTGTAAAATCGCAAACAGATATACATATATATGTGTATTCAGTGAATCAGAGTTTTGAATGTTGGCAGTTGAAATAAACACTGAATTTAAAATAAAATGTAATTTAATAAGTATTGAAAGTCACTTGTGGTGCTGTAGCATTTATAGGAAAATGTTTTTTTTTGTTGTTGTTTTTATAGGCTGCGTTATACCAGCTTTGTTGTACCAAAGTGCGACGGGACTTATAACACCACCACGGAGAAGATTCCCTACGACTTCTCAAGTAGTGCGGAATTTTTTGTCGCTGCTGGTATTCTGGCCTTCCTATATTCCATAGGAATCACTCTGTTTTACATTATTTGTCACGAAAAGTATATAAATGACCAAGTGGTGCCAATTACCGTGAGTTTACTTGCTCTTTCATTTGATAAACTTTAAAGATTCCAGCTTTAATCGGTTCTAATCAAAACTTTTAATAGTGTCTATATAGAATATCATATTATGTGTAACTAGAACGTTTTGTGGTAAATAAAAACCTCCAACTAAGTCAATGTAGCTAGTTGGGTATGCCACTTGCAGGTAAGTCAAGGTAGCTAGCTGGTTCTATCACTTGGATGTAAGTCAAGGTAGCTAGCTGGGTCTGCCACTTGCAGGTAGGTCCAGGTATCTACCTGGGTCTACCACTTGCAGGTAGGTCCAGTTAGCTAACTGGGTCTGCCACTTGGATGTAAGTCCAGGTAGCTAGCTGGGTCTGACACTTGCAAGTAAGTTCAAGTAGCTAGCTGGATCTGCCACTTACAAGTACGTCCATGTAGCTAGCTGGGTCTGCTACTTGGATGTAAGTCAAGGTAGCTAGCTGGGTCTGCCACTTACAAGTAAGTCCAGGTAGCTAGCTGGGTCTGACACTTGCAGGTAAATCCAGATAGCTAGCTGGGTCTGCCACTTGCAGGTAGGTCCAGCTGGGTCTGCCAAATTGTCGCATGATGATTAGCGGAACTTTTATCTTTCCCATGATGAGGAAAATGTTCCAAATCTTTCTTCAGTAAAACGTATAGACTTGTCCACCAATCTTTCTTCAGTAAAACGTATAGATATGTCCACCAATCTTTCTTCAGTAAAACGTATATATTTGTCCGCCAACCTTTCTTCAGTACAACGTATAGATTTGTCCGTCAACCTTTCTTCAGTAAAACGTATAGATATGTCCACCAATCTTTCTTCAGTAAAATGTATAGATGTGTCCACCAATCTTTCTTCAGTAAAATGTATAGATATGTCCACCAATCTTTCTTCAGTAAAAAAAGCAGATTCATGTACTAACCTTTCTGATAATGAATAGTAGAGCCATGGCAACAGTTGTAAACATTTTTAATGAACGTTTTGGAGTTACACATCTATCTATCTTCAGTAAATCTATGCAAATAACAAATGTATAATGTATGTTTTTTTATTTTCCTAACACTATTCATTGTATTCTTGTATTAGTAATTATAATACAGATTGTTCCCATTCATTATTATCACAGATTTGCTGAAGACAGAATATGTGTAATCCCGAAACGCTCATTAAAGATGTTTACAGCTGTTGCCATGGCTCTACTATTCATTATCAAACTTCGTTTTCCATCAAATGAATCAACTAACCTTTCTTCATTGAAATGTGAAGATTTTTCCACTGCACGATTTCCGCAGAAGGTGGTCAGAACTCATGTCAGAGTAATTTATAATAGTTTGTTCAAACACACACACACACATATACAAATACGAGAATTCTTTATGATGCGGGCTCTACCAAAGTTTATCCCTACGCTATGGGCGAGGCCTTTCTTGCCTGAACTATGTGGTCTGAAAATGTGTATATATTATAGGTTGCAGTAAAGTAATCGCAGTTCTCATGTTACAAACTCGTACATCACGCTCTAGTGGAAACTGTCAACCACCCCTGGACGATAAAATGCAGGGAACTTGATCTAAGCCATGAAAAAGTAAAATCTGAAGTTACTATACTTTAAATATATAACAAACAAATTGAAATCAGAGGCTACTATACTCTACAAAATTTAAAATCAGAAGCTATCATACCCTTAAGGGAAAAAACTTAAAATCAGAAGCCATCATACCCTTAAGGGAAAAAAAAATTAAATCAGAAGCTATCATACCCTTAAGGGAAAAAAACTTAAAATCAGAAGCTATCATACCTTTAAGGGGAAAAAACTTAAAATCAGAAGCTATCATACCCTTAAGGGGAAAAAATTTAAAATCAGAAGCTATCATACCCTTAAGGGAAAAAAACTTAAAATCAGAAGCTATCATACCCTTAAGGGGGAAAAAATTAAAATCAGAAGCTATCATACCCTTAAGGGAAAAAAATTTAAAATCAGAAGCTATCATACCCTTAAGGGAAAAAACTTAAAATCAGAAGCTATCATACCCTTAAGGGAAAAAATTTAAAATCAGAAGTTTCTATTCTCTTGGCGAAGTGTTTAAGGACATGTCGATTTTATTATTTTATGGGTTCACTGGCTAAGATAAAAAAATGGGCACTTTTTTTTCTGAATCATCTTATCCTGAAAAACTAAACTGTAAAATCGTAAAATATTGTTTGTTTGGCTGGTTGGTTGAAAAGACGAGAATGTTCGGTGACTGGACTTGAACCTGCAACTTGCGAATAGAGCGCCTTAACCACAAGGCCATGTCAGGCCCATTATATAGTAGGTTACAGCCATATAGTGATCTAGCAGATAATATCTGTGTGTAGTAAATATGAATTTTAAGATAGTAGGTTAGTAATCTATAGTAAATACGGTGTCTGTGAGAGTAAGTAATAACCGTATATGAATACAGTTTTTGAAAGAAAGAATAAATCTGACATACCATCTGTTTGTGTTCCTGTCGATTTGCAAGATCTTGACTTTAATATATCTACAACAATATTTTGAGACTAACTGTAAACTAGTTAAATCTTCTTTTAAACATTTACTTGTAAAATGTTTATTACTTATTACTCACACAATACAAATTAATTACTACAATTAAACAAGTGTTTGACGTTACTTTGGTTTGAATTTCGCGCAAAGCTACACGAGCGCTATCTGTGCTAGCCGTCCATAATTTAGCAGTGAAATACTAGAGGAAAGGCAGCCAATTATCACCACCCACCGCCAACTCTTGGGCTACTCTTTTACCAACGAATAGTGGGATTGACCGTCACGTTATAACGCCCTCACAGCTGAAAGGGCGAGCATGTTTGGTGGGACGGGGATTCGAACCCACGACCCTCAGATTGCGAGTCGAGCGCCCTCTAACCACCTGGCCATGCCGGCCACTTCATAAATAAAGTGCATTCTTCTTCACAGACACACACATCCATATTTAATAATAACCAGCCCCCAGTGGGTCATCTGTACGCTTGGTGCCTTATAAGACTAAAAATCGGGGTTCAGTTCCTGAACAAACTGTATTAAACCACTCTTTAAATTCAATTAACTTATTTGGAAATCACTTGGTGGACAAATGTACACATCTTACTATAAAAAAAAACTTTTAGAAATTATGTAAAAATTACATTTCTGATGTAAGCGATAAAAGTTCCATTAAACATTATGCTAATAACACTAGAATTACAAAAAAAAAAACATATAACTAAAGACTGTTAAACTTTTTAGGTCACGTGAGGTCATTACGTTGCTTTTGTGTTAATAATACCACACAAAAAGTATCATATTGTTATTGTGAAAACGACTTTGCTTATTAATACATAGGTTGAGTACTTTTTTTTTATAACCATTTTGGAGCTTCACCACGTCTTTACATTCCACCACAGAGAGTCATGATCTATTTGACACCTGTAATATTGAGAATAGACCGTAGAATAGCTTCCATTACAAAAGGCTGTAATATATATATAATCATTAAGTAGTTGGTCCGTTATATTGTATGGAATAATGATTTAAGCACACGTCGTAACATTATTCACACACCTAAATTGTTTTAGGTTACTTTATTGGTGATTGAACAGGACTTAAAAATCACCGTTATAAGAGGCCTAACTGTAATTTTTTGGTTTGCTTGCCCAAGCAGTGCTGATGAGCCTTGAACAGACGAAACTGCAATCCACTGCAGAGGGTACGCCAGTCAAAGTAAGCATTAGGCCTCTACCTCACAGATGCTCTTTTCAATTTTTCCTTTGGAGAAAAAAAAAGAATCTGTAACACACACACACATATATATAATCAATTTAAAAAAAAAGAAGATTATTTTTGGTTGATTTTTGTTTTTCGATTCGTCTCGCTTTGTTGTCCCCCTGTGGGACAGCTGTAAGCTTACGGACTTAAAACACTAAAATTCAGGGCTCGATTCCCCGCGATGAGCACAGCAGATTGCCCAATGTGGCTTTGTTCTAAAACAAGCACCCGCTCTGTTATAAGAGATAGTGCAAGACTAGGACATTATTAAAAAGACAGTAAAAAAAAGTTATGTTCACATAGTATTATCACAGAAAGTACAGCATATAGTGTGTTACGTTTTACCATATTCCATATTGTTACGTCTATTAACCAATGCCGTTAGCCGTGAAATTATTGTGACGAAATATTTTAATAGCCGTATTGTTGTTGTTTTATAGATCTAAGTCTTCTTAAAATAGTATTGTATATTGATAATAGAGATACAATAATTTTAACAACTAAGCGTTTAAACATGGTGATTAGAAATATGGCTCTCATCTTTTTCTATGTTTTGTATTTATATTAAATTCTCGACTCAAAAGAGCGTGTTCCATATGCGACAGTACATTTCTGTATAGTTTGAATTATATAATTCTCAATTGCCATACGACGTTTCCATATTACCGGCGTTACTTTCATTGAAGTATGCTTCTGGGTTACTTTGGTTTTGCTTCCCTGAAGTTACATTAAAATCCGGTGAAGAAAACCGGAAATGGGAAGGTCTCACTCTTTGTACGTAATTTTCGCTATAGGTGGAAAATGAAAAGGTAACAACAGCAACTTATTAATAGATTTTTAAATTGCCATTCGAATGGGTTTATAAAACAAAACAATTGGTGTAGATCAGGGATTCCCAACTTTTTTTGTTCCTCCGCATCCCTTGACCCTGGGCATTCTGACAAAAGGCATTCTGATTAAGGATCAAAAATTGATAAAATTATATTTATTTTATATTATTTTATTATGAAATCTGTATGTGTGGACTGAATAAGGATCTTATAGTATTGATAACATCGATAAATTGAACTCAGCGTATATTTATAAATTATCTTAGTATATTGTCAAAACTAAATACCAATACCAATGAGATGGTTGAGCCTGTTTTATGGCAACAAGTTCATTAACACGAGAGGAAACTTTAGCAACTCTCAGACCCCTACGTACCCCCCTGAGAAGA